CTCGACGCTGTTTTTATAATCTCATTCGATTATTTATAAATTAAGAATTGATCCAGATTGGAAATGATTCTTAGTGCCAAGGTATCACCACGGTACTATTATAATACAGTACTCCAACTTCATACAAACGGACGAAACGCGAGCTATACCTACGCGCCTCGATCTCGGGGTGCGCTCGGGGCGCAGACAGTCACGGCTGTACCGCAGTGTCGAACGGACGGTGTGTTGTTTTTTAACGATAACCGCGCGATTTTTTCTCTAAAAATCAGTTAATATGACGAGTAGGAAACATTGTGCTGTTTTTGGTTGTATGAATTCGTCAATAACGCATCCAGACATAAGTTTTTTTAAATTACCTGGAAACTCTGAAAGGTAACACTATAATAATTTTACTTTACTTAATAATAATTAATAAAATAATAATTTTACTTACTAGTAGGTAGGTACATAATATGTGTCTTTTTAATGGATAAGTATTTCCTTTTATCTCACAAAAAAAAGGTGTTTGGATTAATAAATAAAGCGAATAGAGTAACGGAAAGTTATTGAGACAAGTAAAATAGGTAGTTATATGCGCTTCTGAATGAATCATGATACGGTAGGTAACTACTTACGCTTGTGTTAAAACTTCGGTGCATGTGTGTTTTGTTACTTTGCATAATTCAAAGTAAAGACGTGTTATTTTATTATTAATAATATTTGTTTATTATCTGTGTGTATGAATAATACTAGAAATATTTTTTTACCGTCTCTGTGTCATTAGATAGTTTTCGAAATTTTCACAAAGTGTTTCTGCTGCTACTGTAACAACATATACCACTAAAAACTGGTTTTATTTTCTCGGTATTAACAACAACAGCTAGACTCATATAAAATATTTAGATGTTTGAGGGTTGTGATTTTAAAACATTCGTAGTCAGCTGTTCAGCTTTTTAATAATTAATTAATTGGTGACCAAAGAATTTTTGTTTTGAGTTGTTGCGAGTTGTAGGTAGGTACCTAATTTATGGAGACGTTAATAAGCTGAGATAAAAAGTTACTTACTCGTCAGCTGTTTCTTGCATTCTAGTTGAGTAGGCAGGTGTTGGAGTTTCTAAAGATTGGAGTTTTGTAACGCGTATGGAGAAAGCACATTTTTTTTATTTTATAGAAGGATTTTTAAGCTATTGCATAGCTTTTATTTTACTTTGTGAGCTCTCTGAGCGCGGCGCGGCGCGGTGACCGAATCAAAAAATTCTCAAAACCTAACAAAAAATACCTGACACCACGCAGATTTTTTTCTTTAAAAAAAATAATTATGCAACAGCTTTACCGCGGCAGTCTCCGAGAGTGCCACATGTATTTTTTTTCAGACGTCTTCAATGGTTGCAACTGATCCGGCGAGATTATTTGGAAAACAAACCTAACTTTAGTTCCTACCAAGTTTGTGAAAAACATTTTAATTTGGAGGATGTATTACATTCATCAAATAGAAAACTTTTAAAAAAGAATACCATTGTTGATGCTGCCAAGCTTAGCTGGTACTGATCCAGGAGTCTCTCTAAAAGAAGATAAACAAACCCAAACTGCTCCGTTGGTAGGAAATGAAAATAGTACACAGACTGAAAATGCAACAAATGAAATCTTTGCTCAAATCTCAACGAGTCTCTCTACCAACACTCCAAGAAAAAGAAAATTGAAACTTGAACTCCTCCAATGCAGAAAGAAAATAAAATAATTAAATCTACCAATCAAAAAACAACACGCATTTTTATTGAACACTTCCTATTCAATATACAAAGTATTTCATTTATTTATATAAAAAGGATATTTACAATCACAAATCTAAATAGAAACAGAAAGTAGGCAAATATAATTAAAATGCTGGAGACGGGCAGCCCTAACGCATGTTTACGTACCGCGCGGCTGTAGGCATTTATTTTTGTCATGCGGCCGAGTCACACTACTGTATTATAATTGTACCGTGGTATCACTCCTTTGAAATTTATCATAAGGTGTGTTCGGAGATATTCTCTTTACTGATTAGTGTTTTAATTACAGTTGAAAAACGATAAACAAATGTAGACATATACGTAAACGTAACGCAACGTAAACGTGAGAAGATTTATGAACGCCGCATATTTGATGGCATACTTACGCGTTATGACTCGATGCAAACCAGATGATAATATAAAATATATATATATATATATATATATATATATATATATATGTATATATATGTACATATGTACTCGTATGTGTGTATGTATCTATATGCACTGTACATACAGCATAGTTAGTGCACATAGTTTTAGTAAAATTCTAATCTTCTGGTCTGATTCGTGTGGTGACTGATAAAGAATACGGTATGTCACCACCCCTATTCATCCCGTGGGTGACGTAAAAGCCGACTAAGGGAGCAAACTACGCAGAGCAACAGCACTGAAAAGAGAAGACACATGACACAAACCCTATACCAACCCGTCTGGCCAGAGTTTAATAGTAGACCAAAACCTTATTTCTAAAGTGAGGCCTACGTCCAGCAGTGGACCGTTGAAGGCTGTTGATGTATGTGATAAGAATGGTCTAATGACCTCTGTCATGCTTCTGTTCCATAAATATTTAGAAAGGAGTGCAGAACAGATTTTTCACATGTTAATATATATGTATTTATAGATATCATCAGGTATTATTTCCTACGTAGTAATGTAGTATTGTCTCGAAATACCCATATCAGTCAACAGCTGATTATAAATCAGTCAGATGATAAGATTTCATAATAAACTAGCTGACCCTGCAAACGTTGTTTTGCTATTTACATTATTTAACAATTATTATTTTTTTGAATTTCTTAAAATCCGTTCTTAGCTGACCTCTACTCGGTGAAAAGAATATTCCTACCAAATTTCAAGTCTTTAGCTCTAATGGTTCCAGAGAAATCGTGATGAGTGACTATATACGTGGAAATCTCTTATATATTTAGATTATTGTTTGTATTTGAAATGTTTAAAGTTCACGACACAGCAATGCACATCTGCATATTTTTTTTTACTGTAACTTACTGCACAAACAAAACAATAAGACATATAAAGCGTTACTAACGATAAGAATGCGTTTGGATACATTTTATTCTATTTCTTCTCGATATTTTAAATTCTGTGGATTTTTTTAAAACTTCCTTGTACTTGGCGGGCGTCGAACAAACGACCTCCAGCTTGGCATTACAGTCACTACCACTAGAACAACAGGCTCGTCAAAAACAGTGACAAAAGGCTCTCTTTATTTCTTAATTAATTATTTTAATTGTTAGATACATTTACGAGTATTAATAATGTAAAGAAATGCATTTTATGTTATGTCTCAAATCTTGACCGCTTACTACACAGCTTGCTATGTAGGTGATCATTATCCCGCAGACAACAGCCCGATAGCCGTTGCTATAAGAAAGTTTTATATAGGTCCTAAACTGCCCGAAAACTTTTATTGCGCGATGCAGTTCGATATGTCTTTGGTTATATTGTCTTGAATACGCCATAAGATTTCAATTGACATCATCGTCTGCATTGTATAAGACTCCAAATGACCGTCTGATCACAAACTAAGCAGAATCTGTATAGGCTTCTTACCATGAACTTAGAGGGCTTAGTGCAAGTTTATTTCACATCAACTGGCTTCCGGCAGCGAGCACGTTCGGCCTTGCGACATCTGCCAAAATATCAGTATTCTCCTAACATCAATTCAATTTTGTGACATCAATTCAATTGGTGATATCAACAACATTGCCATACCTGGAAAATTAAATATATTTTTTTTTTCAAATTTAAAATATACCGTTTACCAAACTATTACAAAGATATCGACGACATTTGTATCAGTGACAAGTCATCGGGAGGCCATTGGTCTTACATACTTAGTAGAATAGGAAAAATGCAAAACGGAATACCGGAATACCGACGACATTCCATCGTCAGTCTATTGATACAGTATTAAAATAGCAGAAATGAGGCCCAGTTCGGTCACAATTCAATTCCGATCAACTCTTGATCTCCCAACTGTCATAAAAGGTATTTTCGTATTAAAGTATTAAATATCCATCGTTGACTGTAATATGATTATATCGTATTGTAACCGAAAATTGAATCGGTAATCTGCTAGTCTTAGTAATATTTTAATAGGAAAATATTTTTTATGACAGTTGCAAGATCGACATTTAATCGGCACTGAATTTTGACCGGACTTTTATTACGAGATTAAGTTGGCCCTCAGTTCTACTGCTCAAAAGAGGGAAGGCTAAGCTCCGAAAGAAGGATCCGAGGATCGATAGAATATAACTTTTGAATATTATTCATTTCATAATAAAAAATCACATGCTAACTTTAATAAATTAGAAATAATTTCATGCTTTAAATCCTGAAGGGGTAGGCAGGGGTGATTGAACATCTACATTTAGACAATAAAGTTAGCTTATTAATGTTAACCATGACAAGTATACCTACTTCAATTTCCAAAATTATAAATCCTTTAAAAAAAAGTTGAACCGACTTCAAACAATACTAACAAAGATCACTAAAAACCTAGCGGCAATCGTCGTTGATTTGCTGTTATTTTTTGAAGAAGCTTATTATCAGATCTATATGAAATTTAAATGGGACCATTTCGGAAAAAACCGATTTCGAATAAAAAATAATGTTGAAAAACCGTCTATATATGATGGAGTTATGCAAGAACATACATAAAAATATATGTATAAACATCCGAATTGATAACCTCCTCCTTATTGAAGTCGGTTGAAAAAGACAGGCATTGCCTTCTTGGAAATGAAACTTAATATGCGTTTGTTACCTTTCCTTCTTACCATGTAGTAGTATCAGCCTGGACACAAGAAAAACCCCAAAAAAAATTGAGCACATAGCAAGTACCCTACACAGCATGCACTTCAAAAAAAAAAAGGTCTTACATAAATCGGTTTAACGTTTATAAGTTTTTATTTTTTAATTTTAAATTAAAGTATAATTTCCCTAATCACTATCACTTTCTACAGTAGAAGTCCGTTCTCTCTTCAATTTGATCATTTTAGCATCTCTCATTTTAAGACTATTGATCAATTTCATTACTTGTATCCTGAACTCGAACTTTGAACTTTCAGACAACGTTTTTACTGACGGTGTAATTGATTTAAAGAAAGCTCTATCTTCGTCTTCTTCTTTCTGTATGAGGTTGACAAGGACGGACACTATGTTATCGTCACAGTCCTCTTTGGGGGTTTCTTTGGGGCTTTGAGAGGTATTAACATCATACTCTATCTTTCGCCTCTTAGCTGTGTTTTCATTTTCTGTAGCACTTTCATCAATATCTACGAAAACTTCGTTGATCCAGTTTTGTGATTCTTCATTTTCTGCTTCATCGACTTCTTCAACTGAATTGTAAGATTTATTATTCTTTTTTACGTTAAGAGTTTCTTCAAGAAAGCTGAGTTCTTCGGAATAGAGGTACGGCTTATTTCTGGAGCCACCTTTGCGTGATTTGACGTATGAGTCTCGCGCGTTGTGCCATTTACTTGTGATGGTGTTGCCTGTTGAAAGAATATTTTTTTAAGAATATAGAATTAAACTATGTATATGTACCACTATAGGGCAAACGCGTTCTCAGATAGTGTAATTTCCGGATCAGGGTATCGAACCTTATCGAATCGCACTACCAGTTTTTTGAACCGGTATCAAAAATAGGTAAAAAATAGGCGTATGTTACGCAATGACTATGGTATTTATAAACCGATAGGTACCAATGCGCAAATATTTTTTAATTAAAATGATTGCACTTAAGGATAGTCACATTTCAATTGGGACAAAATATTCCAGTTCTAAGGGTGGAAAAATTATGGAGTGAATAATACAGCTTATAAAAATTAAAGTGAGTTATACTTTTTTTAAACTTCATTTCATCAACAGTCTTTACTAGTCTAATTAGTTTACCAAAAAGAAGGAAAATATATATAGGGTTAACCCTCTTTGCAGTGTTGTTGTCTTGCATAATTTACTCCCTTGGTCGGCTCTTACGACACCCACGGGATGAATAAGGGGTGGTGACATTCTGTATTCTTAATCCACCACATCCAGTCACCATACAGAACTTCATTGACAATACTCTATTTTTAAAACTTTATTTGCAATATGTACTTAAAAACTTCATTCACTGACAATAGTTGAGTGACGTAAGTAATGTCTGTAACTATTTATCAGTACTGGAAGCTGGTAACCATTTTCTATCTAGCTATTTTGTTTAACAAAAGAAACCTCAGTCTTTTCATCGAGTGAAAGGTTACCGGCACTTAAAGACCTACTCCCCCTGATTCTGGGAGGAGGATTCAAAAGGTGGCAAGCTTCTGGAAGGAGCTTGGTTGGCTCACCTTGCCAACCTTTCCTACACGCATAAAGCGGAGCCGACAACCACAACCAACACCAATGTATTTGTGAGTTTGGAGTTGTTGGTCTCCATTGACGGCGTTAGTTACTTATAATCGGGGTCACTAGATTCATCTTCTGTTCGTTTGTCCTCCTATGCTTACTATAAAAAAGTATGTATGTAACTACGTAAGTATTTATGTATGTGTATGTATTTGGTACGTATGTATTTATATTATTGTTTCTGTCTCACTTCTTAGTAATTTTCTCTCACTTTACATATCAATCTCTAGTGCACCTAGTCTGGACTGGGAGATAATGGCTGTGGCATTAAGTCCCCCATTGTACTGTGGCGAGTAGGCGAGTAACCCATACTTGTGCATACAGTACAACCCATACTTGTGCATAAAGAATTATAATAAAATAAAAGTCATAGGACAATAATAAATCCTTTTTTTTTAAGTTGAACCGACTTCAAACCATACTAACAAGAAGCAGCAATCAAGGTTGATTTTCTGTCAATTTTGGAAAAGTATCGTTGTCTGTCTCCGAAACTCATCATCAGACGTATTTAAAATTTAAATAGGACCATTTCAGAAAAACCCCATTCGAAAAATATTTTTTTTGAAAATCCGTCTGTCGGAGTTGTGCCCAAATATACATAAAAAAAATCTAAACATACGAATTGATAACCCCCCCTTTTTTGAAGTCGGTTAAAAGGAATGTTGTGTAAGTAAATTATCTCACTAATAGTAACGCCTGTTCTCACCGATGAAACTCTTCTTCGCTTGATTAAATGAGTCGAAATTAGGTTCAAATTTCTTATAGATCTCATCCCAAGCCCTGTCCTTGGCTGCCTTGTCTCTGTACTCCAGGAATTTGCGGTCCCACAGGCAGCGACGTACTCGCACCATCTCTATCAGGTCCCGTGTTGGGATCATCTTCTTTGAGAATTTTGACGCCAACGGTAAACTGAGAATGAACAAGTAACAATATTTGTGAAACTTTTTATTTTTCAAATTGAAATTATTTATTTTTCTAAAAAATCGAACACCCAAACAGTTGCTCGTAGACTTAAAGAAAAAATCGGTTGTCTGTAAAGTCGGTTTACTGACGATAGTTGAACGTGACAACGTCATAAGAAAATACTAATGGAATGGTAGCATTTTTCAAAAGAAAATTTTAATTTTATTTGTTAGACAGATGTCGAACGCTGCCGAACGCGGAGGCCGATTGTGCCTCTTTGTCGCTCGTTGCGCGCTCTCGCTTCCACTTCAAGCCTTAAATGGAACGCCTCAGAGCGAGGTAACGCCGCATGAGTCATGTTTTTTTCGTGCGTGCAGCCGGCTCCATCGAATTATAAGACGTTGTCACGTCAATAAAAATTAAAATATTTTATAGAAAACACTGTTACAATGGCGTTGGCATGCAAAATTTTAAAAGTATTGTTTATCAAAATCAAGATTAACGCTGAAACATTACAAAGTAATAAGAAAGTTAAAGTTAGTTAGATATTAAATTGTAATAATAAGAGTACAGATCAATTCTTAATTCACTAATTACCATTTATTTGGTCTTTATTTATTAAATCTTTAGATAGTATAACATAAAGTTTTTTTTTGTGTTGTACGCTTAGATCATCTAAACTAAGCGACGGATTTTAATGCAGTTCACCAATAGAGAGAGTGATTCAGCTGGAAGGTTCACCTGTATAATACATCCATATTATACGAGTAGTAGAGAAAATCCGAGAATTGTAAGGCTTTGTCTTAAAAAACATGGTTTTGCGCGCTTACTTTGCAAACGATGGCTAATCCTTACGAGATCGACCAAAATAATGCAGTGCGGAATTGTATATCTAACATAGATCTACAAAAAAGTCAGCGATGGTCGATCTATCTCCTAAGGATAATCCACAGTATCTTTTTAAAATTACAAAAAAAATAATGGGTTATTTACGAAGCTATTTTAAACAATACGTTATTATTTCTTATGGAATTAAATACGTTATATACGTTGTGCATTTAATGTAGAATAAAATTGCTCTTTGCAGCTTATCATTAAAATTAATGTTTTAAAAGATATTAGAGATTTAAAATGCGGGGGCCCAACGACCGGCAAACCCTACGTCCGTCCCGGGTGGCGGCGGCCGGCAGGATCGGAGCGGGCCTATAAATATTGCATTTAAAGATGTCCTGTAGTATTATTAATAGTCCTATCATAATAGTAGTATAATTAATTACTCCACACTGACACCACATTAGTAGCTTTGGTAGTATCTACATTGCACCCGTGCGAAGCCGTGGCGGAACGCTAGTAATAATAATAAATTAATTATATCAATGTCAATCCTCGAATTATTATTTTAATGTATTTTATTTTAAATAAACAAAATTCGAACGGTTTTAACTACGGCCGTGGCCAAAAAACCGTGTGATTTTTTGGTGTTTATACCACTACAAAGTACCAGCACCCCCTCCACCCTCCCTAATTCAAAAAGGCGCTAACATATTTGTATCTATAGCGATGTATACGGTTTGCCCCCATTTACCTATCGTAACAATATACATTACTAGCCATCGTCAGACACGCCAGTTTTTTGATTGATGAATGAGGATGACGCTATTTGACATAAAGACAACGCACAAAATGATGATAGAAAGAGATTAATATATAAATAATGTATATTCCGACAGTAATTTAAAAAAGTAAGAGCAAATTAATTATACTTACTATTTTATTACTGGTAATATTAATCATTGTAGGTAATTGGCATGACTAATGTTTATTAGATTCAAAAAAGACTAAGAAGGGAGATAAGTAAAATGAAAATTGTTTTTTATTTCGTTTGAATTAAGAAAACTTATTGTACTGTAATGTGCATTTTAATTTTGGTGTAAAATAATTATAATAGTTTTTTTAAGAACACGCGGTAATACACATAAGTTATGACTACTCAAAAAAATACTAATTCGTTTACAAAAAGAGTCATATTAATATTCATATCAACAGTGTTTTCTAAAAAGGTTTCATTTTATCGATAAACCAAAAATAATCATCTGACAATGGCGTAAACAGTAAACATGGTTGACCTTGAACCAGTTAACAATACACGTAAATGAAGAATGCCTTATAAAGAGCACGAAGTCATTTAAAAAAGAACCATATTTTCACACCATAAGGCTTTAAAAATTCTAAACAAATAAGGTTGGAAATAGTTTTACAGTTTAAACATAGGTACATTTCGTAAAAATAATAACAAATTCATAGCTGACCAATGAATAATTGTATATACTTATTTTATTTATAGCAATAGGTAGATCTGTCTAGTATTATATCAATGGTCTAAAGCCCACGCACCTTGTGTTAGTATCCGAATCCGACATAATAATGTCTAAATGCTTGTAACTATCCGGTTTTCAATGGCGGTTTCACTTGAAAACACTCGCAATTCTTCAAACACTGCTCTGATTTAACATTATATTATTACCAAACACAGTGTTTTATGTTATTTTGAAAGAATTTTATAATATTTGAGGTGCAAAAATGCGTATATTCTGCCGGCGAGTTTACACAATACTGTCGGGGAATCGGGGCGGCAGAGCGGCGCGGCACCGAGCGCCGGACGGCCGCTATCCGGTAGGCGGAATGGCAACGTTGTGAATCACTTCGTAGGTCTCGCAACGTTGCTTCTTTGTAGGTATAATGATTCTATCCTCTAAAAGGGAGGTACTTTTACTTTGACAGTTTGGACAATCGGTATTTTAGATATTACCAAAGGAAGGTTTTCTTTGAAAAATATAAAAATACACATACAAATTTAAAAAAAAGTCCTAGTTACATTCAATTAAAAAAGTAATTATGGCAAAAAAAATCTCCTAATCTGTTTCATTGCCGATAATAGGCTGACCAACTTTTAATGTACTTTGATTAGATGTGATTGGTCAGATCTAATAAAAAATTATGCATGTTGTTTTAAATGAGTTAAAAGACTTTTAAAAATAAACATTCATGTCAGTAAACTACGTTAGCGCTTTTTACCTAAAATATTATTGTTCTTACTTAGAAATTCAAAGTAAAATCACATTAAATTGTTAACGAGAACTGCATTGCGAGACTTGGGTTTTATATGTTATATTATTGGTTACCTAGGTATATGAATTGGGATCTAATTTCTTTTTGTATTTAGATTTATTAACAGTAATATCGTCAGTCAATTCCTACAAAAGTTATTCCCACTTCATTATTTAAAATTCCCGGAAATTTTTGGTCAAGGTACCGATTCCCGGGCATTTTTGGTCATCTATGGAGATGACCTTTAGATAGTAATAGCTTCCGAAAAGATTCCGATCTATGATCATCATCAACGACAGCCTTAAAAGATCGCTGATGGACATAGGCGTCTCCTTATAAAGGAGGTTGTAGCCTGCTATTCCATGCTGGCCAGATGGGTTGGTATAGAGTTGGTTTAAAATGTTCCTTAGTCGGCTCTTACGACACCCACGGGACGAATTGGGGTGGTGACATTTCGTATTCCTAATCCATCACCACATGGACAGGTATAGTTCTATTAATTACTTATAACATTGGGATAATATATTGATGTTTAAAAAAAAATATACACAATTTGTACTGCAACATTTATTAATTGAATACTCTTTGGTACTGTGTACTTATAAAATTACTTTCTTAACAAACTAAATAGTTTAGAAAATACCTATTTATTAAAGTGTTTGTATTATATTGGTTTTATATTTAACAATAATTATTCAATTTATTACTATTACCTAATTATTTTTATTTGCTTCTTTAATCATATTTAACTGTTGGTCAAGTGGTTAGTGACCCTGACTGCTAAACCGGAGGTCATTGGTTCGATTCCTACCCGGAACAAATATTGTGTGATGAGCACGGTCATTTGTTCTGTGTCTGGGTGTAATTTATCTATAATATGTATCTATTTAAAAATATATAAGTATGTTTATCAGCAGTCTGGTTACCATAGTACAGGGTCTGCCTAGTTTGGGATCAGACGGCCGTGTGTGAGTGTGTGAGATATATTATTATTATTATTAACTAGATGATTAATTCGAGCATATCTTCCCTCCAACTTAACAAATGTTATGATTTAATTACTATAGTACAGGTTCTGTCTAGTTTACCCACGTAACACGAAACCAATGTAATCCTAAATTCATATTCCTCTGTCAATAGTCACTATCTGATTCTTCGTGGTTGTCCCGGGGCTTGATGATGCCTAGTTTGGTGGCGAGTGCTGCTACATTGGCGCGAACTTCCTCTTGCACCAAATTGAAAGACATTGCCAGAAGTGCAATGCCGAACAGCAGGTACAAGGAGCATAGAGCAATGGAGTGGACTGCGGCAGCGGCGTCTTCGCTCGCGCCACGGTGGCTCTCGTCTGATTCTTTTCGACGACCCTGGAGGAAAAGCCTATTGAATCATCATGGCAAATTAGCTTGGCTTCTAGTTCAAATTTGTTTTCTGTTCTACTTTTAAATTCCGCCCGCAATGAAAGCTGTGTATTCTAAAACTATAGTTAGTTATTATTCCTAATGAGAATTATAAGTTACCTGTGCAGGAACGAAATCACCAAACCCGATAGTCGTGAGAGTGATGAAACAGAAATAGGCTGCGTCCAGATACGCCCAAGACTCCCATCGCTTGAACAGGAACGTGCCTGCCACGATGTATGACGCGACCAGGAACACGCACAGCCAGATTGGTACTGGTTTTATCTGAATTATTTAAGGATATATACATATAACTGACAGACTGCTAAGCAAGTAGTCGTGGGTTCGTGGATTCCCACTCATGTCACATTATTGTGTGATGAGTTATAATAATAATAATAATAATATTCTGCACTGACTTTGTTGACTGCACGGATGGCGTAGTGGTTTAAGCGGTCGCCACGCCGCTTCCTACTACGCCGAGTGTTGTGGGTTCAAACCCCACATGGGACGACACTTTGTGTGATCCACAAATTGTTGTTCTGAGTCTGGGTGTTCTTTGTGTCCGTTTCATGTATGTTTGTAAAGTCCCCCGCGACACAGGATTTATTCCTAATGCGGGAGTTGTCTTTTTAAAAAGAAAAAAAAAAAAAAAATCTACCACATTCACACAACGCCATCTAGTCCCAAACTAAGCAGAGCTTGTACTATGGCTACTAGACAACTGATATAAATACATATATACTTTTTTTTTGTAAATACATACATATTATACATAGAAACACCCAGACCAAATCAAACATTAAATGTTCATGCACACAAACGTTTGACTTGAGCGGGAATCGAACCCGCGACCTTTGGAATAGCAGTCCGTTACACAAACCACCACGCCAAGTTTGATATTTTTTTTCTGTGTCCACTTGTAATTTATCTGTAATATTTGTGTATTTAGAAACATATAAGTGTGTCTATGAGCAGCTTAGTTAACATAGCACAGGCTCTGCCTAGTTTGACAGCGGACGGCCGAGTGCGATATATGTAAAGTTATTTTAATTATTACAATAATTGTATGTGTAGTTTGTTAGTTTTGCAAGTTGAAGTGGCAGTGGGCTGGGCAATATTAGCCGCAGAACCGACAACCGTTGGGGCAAACCAGTTGAGTGAATACCGCGTCTCGGCAAACGTAGTGTAGGACGCCCATGGGCCAGGTGGAGTGACGATTTGCGCAAGATGGCTGGCAGGAGCTGGATGCCCAAAATCGATCTAAGTGCCGTGCAATGGGAGAGGCCTATGTCCAGCAGTGGACTGCGATAGGCTGTTAACTACGAAGTCGCGTACACAGATTATTTACTGATTTTTTAGAAATATCGGGATTAGTAACTCATGACGTCATTTTTCTGTAGAACGCCATATTGGATTTTGCGTGACGTCATATAAAGGGGACATGATTCTTGTGAAGATACATTTTTACATTACAATAGGTAGTTTAGAAGATATGCCTTCGAATAATTAATAGCAGAGAATTTTTGAAAATAACTTATTTTTTGTACACATGTTTGCTTATTGTACCTTCTGAAGATTCAGAAAATACTGTCTTTTTTAATTTTTGTCCTTCATCATCAATCATCAACAGCCTTTACTAGTCCACTGCTGGACGTAGGCCTCTCCTTAGAAAGGTGGTTATTCGAAGGCATATCTTCTAAACTATCGTAATGTGATAATGTATCTTCACAAGAATCATGTCCCCTTTATGTGACGTCACGCAACTTTTTGTCCTTAATGTTTTATAAACTTTGATACCAATTACCAACCTGGTCTTTCGCCACTACATCTGACGGCGGATGATAAATGTCAGATTGCCGGGAGCTCCATGCTGTAACAGTAAAAGCAATTCATTAGCGCGATACAAGTAATAATATTTTGCGAAATTGTTTTGGGTCTAAACGTAATAAAAGTAATACTTTTTATTTAGTAAACAAAACAAAAGGTGATTTAGAAACTGAAATAATACTAACTAATTAAAACTTTTTATATAACTAGTTTTACTTTCTTAGTGTTACTACTGTTCTATAATTATGTTCTGTTTTCTTGTACAATAAAGAGTTATCTATCTGTATATCTATTTATCTAATTATGTAAAGTTTTTACAGTAAAATCTCAATTGTTATAGTAATTTATGCATGGTCCTTCGAACCGGATTAAATGTCGTCGAGCATGCTTCTTGTGCATTAGAAATTATTACGCATTTTACATCGTTATCTCTTATATATTAAACCACTTAAGCACGGTATAATTTAAATCTCTTATGTATTGTAATTCCCGAAGGTACAAAAACAGTATTTTGTCATGCTCTTGAGAAAAATTAGCAGGATTCCTTTAAAGTTTGCAATTTTCATTACAATTACTAAACGTTTACCATCTTTAATTCGTTCTTTTGCTTCCTTCTCTTGTGTAAATAATGTATATTCTTGTTATTGCACACACAGACAGCAATATTTTAGGATAATAAGTGCTGAGTCTGGGTGTAGTTTGTCTGTGGTGTGTGTGTTTGGAAGTACTCGTATATGGGTGTGTTTGTGGGCGGTCTGGCTGCTACGCTGCTTGGTTTGGGATCGGACGGTCGTGTTTGGGATGTGTGAGGTTGTTATTATTGTTAATGTCATAGATACTATACTTTTTATTAACAACGAATGGCTACACTATTGCAAGCTGTAAAAATAGTTGTATTGTATTGGGACTGATCCCACCCACACGCCCGCACGCACGTCTAAAGGTTGTGTATAGTGTTTCTAAAGAATTTCAGTAAGTTGTATTGTATGTCAGAAAAAAAAAATTGTCAGTGGAATGTAAATGTAGCCAAGGGAATGCTTTTAACACCACTCCCTTTGGTTTGGTATTCACTCCCCCGTTGCGGACCTTGTATAAATCTATAGGCAAGTGAAAATAGAGATTATTACCTTGTGGTGGTCTACTTCGGCGAGGCACTGCGACTACCTCGTCGCTCCAGTCGTCTCTCTCCAACGACGGTGACTGCAAGAAAATAAAGAATATCTAAAAAAAAAACAAGTTGCAAAACACAAGACGGCCGATTGATTTTTTCCTTGGTCTTTTCAATCACGGGAACTCTTCTAGGACCTACTGCACTTCCAGTCTACTACTAGGAACTACTGACGTTTGAAAGTACACTGTAACAAGGCCCATTCAATGAAAAATATTCGAGTTAAAATCCCATTTATCTATTTGAGTTCCCTGATATTCCTTAAACTAGTTTCCTCGTCTCATCCGTTTTCTATTCCTCAATTTTTTACTAACTTCCTTTTCCCAGTTTGATAACGCATCCCTAAAGCATCCCATCACCATCCTGACTGCATGCCTGTTGCCATCCCTTGGCGTCAGGCATTCAGTCGGCCATAAAAAAACCATTCATGACTTTTACAATGTCAGTTAATGCACCAATTAGAGATAAAACCAAGGAGATGATAATCGCTGTGGTATTGCTATTCGTTTTATAATCCAACGATTAGAGTAATAGGTTTCTACTCCTTTAATACAATACTTACGTGTCTATAATTCGGTCTGGTATCATCAACTGTATGCAATCTCCTCAGAGGTCTGGAGTGATGAGGTTGAGGAGGACGTTCCTCAGGCAATCGCTGCTCGTAATCATAGATGGCTGATCGAGCTCTCCGTTGTCGACGCTCCCACGGCTCCACCTGATCACGTTCATAGTATTCTGACCTACCACGCTCATTCCTAGTGATCAATAATAGTGTATAAAAATAAATGGCGATAATAATAATATATGGTTGCCATCAAACATAGAAACTCTTTGGAAATGGCAATAGGTATGAGATGCAATTTTAAAAGTCTGCATTTTAGGAATTAAAAGTCTAAAGCTATCAAAAATAAGGACCAATATTCTCTACAAATCAGAATATACTAAGAATCGTGTTTGCTTAATTGCTTCACATTTTCTTGACCGCTTAAGCCCTATTTGTTTAGTTAGAGGAAATAATCAAAAACAAGACTATCAAATCCCACGAGCATGTAAGGATATAATCTACTGCGAGGTTAGTGGTTGCAGGGTCGAAACCCATTGTATAATCATTTAACTTCGGTTAAATAATGTTCCAAAATGTAAACAAAAACTTAAGTATTGAATAATTTACTCGTAAATCTGCAATTAAACGTAAATTATGTCAGAAAGCCTATTACTCGGTTGTGGATTACACAGAAGACAAAAATACTTGGGAATAATTTAGCGCAGGCTATTTCTTAAGTGCAAATGTGATGTTCGCTAGGGTGTTTTATATTATTATTTTTAAAAATTTTATGTTTCACTTCAATTTCTCTTTTATTTGATCTTTTTCTTAATTTTATTTTTCTCTTTATTGTCTATTTACCTTTTAATCTTTAATAATGGACATACTAGCACACATCGGAACAGTATTGTGGTAAATGTAATGATGCCACTATATTTATCTGTAAATTGCAAAACAGTGGCCATGACTTTGTTTGCCCTTTCTTCTCATTAGGGTCAACCCCTTGGAAACAGGCATGATATATAGATTTTGTATAAGCATTTTTTTTTTCCTTACTATATGACCAAACAGAGATTGTTGCTATTGCGTGTGTGTTGATCTACGACTTTATAGTCTACATAAAAGACGATTTCAAACAACTTAATTTTTTTATGAAATAAAGATATTTTGAATTTGAGTTTCAAAATTTGGTTGATTGAACATAAAGAGTCTCCATTTATTACCTATAATCACGTCTTGGCCTTCTTCCCCTGGAGTAATCAAAATCAAAATCTTCATCTTCTGGATCATACCCACGATCTCGCATACCGTACAAATCGTCTCTCTCCTTATTTCTTTCTCGTTCCAAAGCCTTCTTCTCCTTATAGTTCTCATAGTCAACGTCATGTAAATCATGCATTTCAAACATCTCTTTGGGTTCATCCTCAAAATGTCGCTGATCATCAAAGTCTCGTCTTGGGCCGTATTCGGGTTTTGATTTAGCTGGTCTTGGCAAGGATTTGCTTCGCAGCTCAGGCTTTGAAACCTTCATTTGGTGGGTTTCTAAATCTTTCAATGCTGCTTCCAAGTCTTGCAGTGGTAAAGATATTTTTGGGAATTCTTCTGGAAAGTTAAAATTATCTGTGTCAATGTTACACTGGATCACATTAAATAAATTACAGTAGGTATACAAAAACGATAAACAGAAAGGTGTCTGCAACACTACTTGCCGTAATTGCAAGGCGGATTGGATAATTGTATTTCGGGTAAAATCTTAAATTGTAAATTCTGGAATCGGAGACTGTTTAAATGGGTAGGCTCGACCGAAGTGATACCTCACAGGAAATTGGTACGAATCTACTCTTTCGCTGCTTTTCACAGCCTGAGTGAAGTTATCAGAGGTCCAACCCCCATCCCTTCTCCCCAATTTAGGGGCGGGGGCGAGGGGGGGGGGGACCAATACTTTACTATTTTACTACTAAAATACCTATTATGACAGTTGTGAGGTCGAAAGTTGATCGGAACTGAATTGAGACCGAACTTTTATTACGAGAATTGGGCCTTCTGTTAGATCGTTCTATTACCACACAGAATGCTAATAGACAAATATTATATGCAGCAATAATGCAGGTCTTCAAATTAAAACATTATAAAGTAAATCGTCATTTTGTAAAAAACACAGCATATAACTTTTGTTAAAAGGTAAAAAAACAAAGAATACATTTTTATATGTAGTTATTACATTTTTGAAGCTTACAACTATCTATCTAAGCTTGCATCTAATCTTATGTACCTTTTTTTTTCCGTGCGGAAATCCCCTCGGATACCACCTATCGGTGGCATGTCGGTCTCGAACCGACTAAAACCGCACGCCTTCTCGGGTACTAATAGCCGGGGAACCAGGTATACCCTAGAAAGGAAGTCCCTGGTGCCCCTACTTTCTTATGTACCTGCGTGGAATACAAGGCGCTGTCATAATATATTTTTGACTAGTGTTTAGTTATCTGTGGTCATATAATAATATGACGTGGCGCTGACGTGGTGATCACTTATTTCTCGAAAGACAAAAGACAAATGGAGTGTAAGTTACCTTCTTCATCGTCATAGGGATCCCGACCTCTATCATACTTTTCATAGCGAACTGGAGAGTTCTCTTCTACGTCGTAATCTCTTGGCCCTTAAAGTAAAAGCACAAATATTTTGTGATAAGCACGATGAGGTCATTTGTTCTGTGTCTGGGTGTAATTTATCTATACTATAATATCTAATATAGAAAATTCTCGTGTCACGGTGGGCGTGGTTGAACTCCTCCGAAACAGCTCGACCGATTTTCGTGAAATTTTGTGTGCATATGCACGGGTAGGTTTGAGAATCGGCCAACATCTATTTTTCATACACCTAACTTTTTTTTTGACCAAAGAATTTGAAATAACGTATATGGCAAAACAACGTTTGCCGGGCCAGCTAGTAATATCATAAAGCTGAGGGGTTTGTTTGTTTGTTTGCTTGAACGCGCTAATCTCAGGAACTACTGGTCCGATTTGATAATACTTTCAATGTTAGATAGCCCATTTATTGAGGAAGGCTACAGGCTATATATTTTCACGCTAAGACCAATAGGAGCGAAGCACCAATAAAGAATGTTTCAAATCGAGTTTTGGAACGAAGTTCCTTATCGCGCGTTGTGAAAGGGGGCTAGACGGAAAAAATCTCACGAAAAGTTGTAACGACACTTTTTATTTTGGATTATCACTTGTCAGTCATTCAGCGCCATCTATCGAATAGATAGGAAATCATTACTTTTCATCTCAGTAAAATTAAAATTTATGTTCTTAGGTTGAGCAAAAAATATTGTATTCGACATCATTTCTCAAGGAGATTTTACCAATGTATATATTGTTTTAATTAGAAACCAACTTAAAAATATGTAGGCCGCTTTCATAGATGGCGTTGTAATTAAAATCGTGTCGAATCAGTTTTACTCGATCGTCACAACTTCGTTCCTATCGGGTGTCCAACGACACCACACGGCTTTTATTTTCTTTCTTTTGAGAGCTTCCGCTGCGTGCGTTGCGTAACCGTAAATGGCTCCTTAAAATATTTTCACCTTCTGCGTAAACAAAGTCGCGGGTTAAAGTTAGCGTTAGCCCAAAGTAACTATTCCACTCGGACGAACGTCACGGGCAGCAGCTAGTCTATAGTATGTATGTATTTAGAAATATATAAGTATGTTTATCAGCAGTCTGGTTACCATAGTACAGGCTCTACCTAGTCTGGGATCAGACGACCGCGTGTGAGATTATATTATTATTATTATTAGATCATCACCATAATTTGCCTGCCCTGCCTAACATGTTCAAGGGAGATCGGCCTCCTGTGCATTTCGAGTTTATGAAGACATGAGCTCAGAGCGGAGTCCTGGAGGCTTTGATCAGGGTGACAGCCGAGGTAGATGGAGAATACTTAACTTGAAGTACAGAACATTTAGCAGTTTATTTGAGGCCAGGTCATGTGTGTTACATCAGGTGACCTGTCTGCTCGTTTGGTCCTTATACCGTGAACAAATAAGTATTTTTAAACTTCAAGATTATGTAAGGAATTAGGAGCTGTTAGGACGTAAGTGATAGTAGATTTAGTGACGCATGAAATCTCGTAATAATAAATGAATAATTATTAACAAAAATTATAATAATAAGAGAAATAATCGATACTTAAATACGATCTAAATTGTATTAAACGAAGAACCTGAATATACGCCGTTCTAATACTACGATCCCGTGTAAAAATGTTTTTGCTATAATGCTAAAAAGACAAAATATTTCTGTACGGATACCATAGGGCCTTTCGTATTTAGCGTGTTGTGGTGGTTGCGACCTGGTGCGGGGCAAAGAAGCAGGATGTGTTATTGGAATTGGCTGGCGAGGTCTTCGGACGCGTCCACTGCTGTAACCACTATCACGGTATCTGTGTAAAGAAAACAATCTTCCAATTACTCAGTTAGGTTTAAATTTAGATTGGCAAAACTATCAGTAATATCTTGTGTTTGGACAAAAGGCGTTCAGTAGCTAGAGTGTGTTATTCATTGCGCTTTATTTACTCTTGGTTTAACTTCAAAGCTGTTTATAAATGTTATTGAATTGGTATCAACTACAATAAAGAAGTCATCGTCATCTTTATGTGTACTTAAGTACACGGTACATTGATCTTAAGTCCAAATTTTGACCTAAAGTACCTATTAGAATTATTCCAACATTCAGGCTGTTATTAAAAGCAAACAAGCAAGCAAGTTTCACAAACCTTTGATTCATAATGCTACAAAGTACAAAGCGATAGCTTACAAATTAGACTAAAAAGTTTTTATTTCAATTCTTATTTGCATTTCAAATACTGAGAACAATTGTTTCACTTTAAAAAAGTGAGGAGAAATCCCCTGCTTGTCTGTGATGTGGTGCCATGAAAAAGGTTGTTAGGTACATTTTACCCATAGGTTCTATGATGTGATTGGTTGTGTGAATACCTGCAGTCTGTATCGGAATGTGCTCTTTCTAGAGGGCGCGGCCGTCGTCGCGTCGAGCCACGAACACTGCCACCACGTACGGAACGTCTGCACAGATACAAAATAATTAAAAAAAACTATTATCGGAATACAACAAAACCAAATTACATGTTGGCTGAAAGACATCGGAAAAAACATATAGCCACGTCTGGGTGTAAATTATCTATAATAAGTATGTTTATCAGCTCTGCCTAGTTAGGAATCAGTCGGCCATGTGCAGTGTGTCTCAAGTTATAATCAATATGAGTAATAAATAGTGGTTTTATACCTTGAGGAATGATGGTGCCGGTGGCGCCGTTTTGGCGGTCTCGTGCACACGTAACAACATACACGCCAATACAAGAATCTGAAAATTATAAGAGAATGTAGAAGTATCTTAAAAAAAATTAAAGCGCCAATAATATTTTAATAGCAATTTTGTTTTAACACATCTTGCTAATATAATTTTATCAGGCGCTAAGTACTTACTGTTATAGTAAATGACAAATTATATTATTTACCTGAATGAAGAAGCCATCACATCGCCGATGTTGGATAGACATAATAGCATCAGTGGTATCCCCAAAATCGCGTAGAAGATCGTCACCACTTTGCCTGTTTGGGTTTTCGGTGCAATATGCCCGTAGCCTTGACAAAACATAAAATACATTTGGTTATGCTATGAACAAATGAACTTTATTTTCTATAATGTCATTTGGTAATGACAGTGCTATTTAAGTATGTTTATAATTAATTTGGCAAAATGTAGGTTGTGTTTATTGTGTACAAATCATACTTAACCACATACAAGCATACCTACAGAAGACTCCAAAAGAATAACTGAAAGAAGAATGAACTAACAGACCTGAACTGTTTAGTCTTTAATAATTAATTTCAATTCAATTTCAATTCCTTTGAGATACTAAAAAGAAATCGACAAATACTTAATTATTAACCTATTTTACTTACAGCGCATGCTCAAGTTTTTATTTTATTTATCTTGAGTTATCTTTCAGTGAAATGTTGGCAGTTAGGAATGAAATTTTTAAATTTATGTTTACAGAGTCAAGAAGATTTTGCTAGTTCAATAATAAAAAAAATAAAAAATGTAGTAATGAATAATAACAATAAAATTATAAGAACACAATTAAAATTTCCTATAATTTTACCTATGAAAAAAAAATAAAAAAATAACTCAAAATAGGCATCAAAATTTTATAGCTGTATTCCGAATAGATCAGAAGCTAATATTTTAGACAGCAGAAAACTGAGAAAACGAAACAAAAACTAAACCAGTTTCTTTATTTAAAACATTATTAAATAAAACTGGTTTAGTTTTTGTATCCCGATGATTTAATTGGTACTATCACTTTCATGGTAATATTGCGTCATTAGATTATGATTGTACGCTTTAAAACTGTTATTTCATAAAGACTATACAAGCATCGGTGGTTCAGTGGTAGAATGCTCGCCTGCCACGCGGGCGGCCCGGGTTCGATTCCCGGCCGATGCATACTCTTTTTGAAATTTATTTTCATGATAATTTTTGGAAAACCTGTTATGGTTATCTGACCATTCGTTAACTTGGCTATTACATTAGTTTTAAGTCGTTTTACTTTTGTTACAAGTACAATGTTGAGCAATGGCGACTTTGTAAGCGTTAAAAACTGACGCAACATGGGGAATTACAAGTGTTTTGACAGAACTGGTTACTTTAATAGGTATTTGTTAGCACACTAGAACTACGTCACTGAATCTTGCAATATATATAATAGGCTAGTTGACTCAATTTGAAAACTCGGTTAATTATATACTTTAATATCTATTTTATCACCAAAAACCTTTATTTTAAAGAAAAAGCAATATTTACATTACGTATTTTGTATTCAAAAAAACCATTTAAATTGCCCTTGGAAACGCTGAATAGTGTCATGGCGTCTTGAATGACGTCACAGTCTGAGAAACAAAACTGTTTACATTTGTGTCCAGTGTCAACTGAAACTGTATTAAGGTGAGAAAATATGCTAAAAACGAAAAGCAATAAGGAGTGACCTGCTCTGTTGTATGAAAACGTCAACAACAACAATGATGTTTTGCGTGGCGTGACGTAACACGTTCTGATTAGTGTTCGCTGTCACGTGACTTAATGCCTATTTTGTTCGATTTTTTTTTAAATATTAATAATCTTTAACGTTTATGAGAAATAGACTGGTTTTTTCTTATCTATGTCTCTTCATTTATAATTTGAAACTGTAAACCTAGCAATTTGTTATTAGTGGACACAAGCCTATTACGTAGGCACATCTACAAATAATCTATTTATCATATCTAATCTATAATATCTCATTTCTAAATTCTTTTTTTGAAAGTTCTGTAAATTCAAAATTTTATTTTATGATCGATAAATATTGCCGATTCGATTAAGTCAATGTTATTTATGACGAACTGTTATTTAAAAAAGTCCAGAGCGAGGAGTACAGTCGACTTAAAAAAAACTAGAAAATTAAAGTTAAGCCAAATATACAGAACTTTAAAAAAAAAAAATTACCATAGTTTCATTTGTAGAAAGACATAAGTGACAGACTTTACTTTTGTATATATTATATTAATACGCGAAAAAGACTTAGTGTAGGTACCTCTTTTTAAACAAATATGGACCACGAGATCATAATTCATCCCGTGGGTGTCGTAAGAGCCGACTAAGGGAAAAACCACGCAGAACAACAGCACTGCAGAGAGAAGGAAAACTTGAAACAAACCCTATACCAACCCGTCTGGCCAGCGTGGTATAGTAGTCCAAAACCACCTTTCTAACGAGAGGCTTATGTCCAGCAGTAGAGTATTAAAGGCTGTTGATGTGAGATCATAATGTCGTACCTATGTGAATACAATAAGCTTTAACAAAAAAAGCTTAAACTTTTAACAAAAAACATCAGTTTAAAACTTATGTAAAAAAAGCAACAGGAGATCAGTATAGTTATGTTTTGATATATCATGATACAAGGTCGACACAATAACAGTCCAAGTTATTTATTTATTAACCGACTTAAAAAAGGAGGATGTTCTATGATCCACTGTGTGTATTTTTTTTTATTTGTTCTATGGAAGACTTACATCTAAATCAACAGATAACGGTAGAATAGTATTAGAAAGGCAATTACAGGTTTCAATTTTATAAATTTTACTAACAATTACGTGTGACTGGTTCATGTTAACCGTACAGTACAGTCAGCTACATATATAGATACTCTGTCTAATATTGTATATTTAAAGAAAATGGTAATATATTTGTAAAGATAATCAGGTATTACCAGAAAAGTATACCACATGTGATTACATATACACACATACGCATACCGTACCAGACATAACCAAATTCAATTAGATAAGAAATTAAGGCCTAAGCATCTTCTTGCTGCAGGTTAACTCATTTCAAATGGATCAAAATCATGTTGTTTGCATAACTTGTTGAAAGTTCTATTCGCCCGTACAGTGTAAGTCTATAATAAGTAGATGAATGAGGAATACATACTTGGGGAATACTTAATTATCGTGTTGATGGCAACACTTTACACGGTTTTAGGATAGTGCTTGACGACGCGAATGGCGTTTGGCCTTGCTTCATACAGGTCGTCAAGCGAACACGATTCTGGGCTCGCGGGGCATGTTAGCAAGTGGCCCATTGTCTGTGGAGATGCGCCACAGTAGCATTTATTTGCGCTTGGGTCGATAAATCCCCAACTTGACAGATTTTCCTTAGATCTGCTGGGTACGCAACGTATTAAGCCTCTTCCAGGTTGGCCAGGGAAGTTTATCTCCTGGAGGTAGTTTTTCTGCCAAGAGGATGAAATCGGAGAGAGGGAACTTATGACGCCATAAGCTCTCTCTGGCCTTTGGAGCGTTGTTATTGTCAGGAATGATGTCAAGGAAACTGTTTCGACTTTTCAGCCTTTTCGTGATTTGGTTTTGGATAAAACCAAATATGAACCAAATCATGGAGGGATTAAAACGAGATGATTTGCACGAAACATTGAGCCTAATATTATTTAATAGATCAGGACAATGAATGTTAATTTTTAATAACAGTAAATAGTAGGCAATTTCCCTACAGCACTATAATGGCAAAAGATGATATTTTTCACTAAGTTTTTCAACAGAGTTCTATGTAATTATTAGAATCATAGCGAGTTCACTAAAGAGAGCATAAATATTTAATAAAGCGTTTTAGTATGATCTCTATACGGTCAACATATTTTTGAAAATACGGCTTCCATAGAGTCTTAACTTCCGTGACGCATTAGAGATACGCATGATAAAACCTAAAACTTTCGAGGCCTTTTTAACGACCGCGTCTATATGTACGTCAAACAGAAGTTTAGAGTCATGATGGACACCTAGGTCTTGGATAGTGTTGCATCTGGGTAGGTATTGACCACATAATATAAAATTCGATACTGAAACAGAACGCTTCCGTGAATACGTGACTACCGAGCATTTTAAAGGATTTAGATCTAATTGGTTGGTGTGACAATATTCTTCCAATCGCAATAAAACTTCCTGGAGAGCAACCGTGTCATAAATCGGGAGTATATTTAAATAGATCTTCATATCGTCAGCGAAACATAAAATAGAGTTATACTAGACAATGAAATAATACAGATTACATAAATCTTTAGCAGCATAAAATATTTATTATTCACATTTGTAATCACGAGTGTGCCTCGACTACGACATCTCGATTACACAATTTCCTCATTACGGAACCCTTATTTGTGGGTGGTCAGCATGCTCTTGACTTTTGCATATTTTAACAGTAATTTCATAATTATACAACAAATAGAGCGAGGGTTACAGTAGTCGCATATGATGTGTAACATTTGGCATCGAGTACTGCGCGCGCTTAATGATCGAATCCCTCGCCCTTCTGTCATCATAGACCACTTTGGTCTATGCTGTTACATACTTCCGTCCCTTTTCATAAAATTCCTGTAACGCATAGCAGGAAAGCGAGAAAAAAGTTTCTTGCTTCTCAGCCATCTGTGTAGTGAAAATCATTGCATGTATGTTGCAATTATAATAAGTAACATCTGATGCTCATCGGTTAAATCTTTAAAAAAAATTAAAACCGTTTTAAAAAACGCTAACCAAGGGTACTAATAAAAAGAGAAAATTTATTTAATACAAACCTAATCGAAAAGACTGCTGACTGAAATAGGTGTGGGATATTTGAACGAAATACATTGAAATTAAAGATTTAATTTTTTTAATCCATGTTTGACAAAAGTAATGGTGAACATATATAAAAAACATAAAGCCGAACAAAGAATCTCCTTCTATTTTGAAGTTGGTAAAAAACTCACATTCGAGTTCGACCCTGTCATCTAAACGTATTTATAAAGAATTTGTATATGTAGATGAAAATACATCCGTGTGTTGACGGATTAAGAATTTGGAGTGTCACCACCCCTATTCGGTACCTTTCTGGGTGTCGTAAGAGCCGACTAAGAGAGCAAACTACACAAAAACAGCACCGCAAAGAGAAAGAAAACTTGAAACAAACCCAATACCAACCCGTCTAGCCAGCGTGGTATAGTGGGCCAAAACCTCCTGTCTAAGGAGATGCCTTTGTCCAGCAGTGGACTGTTAAAGGCTGTTGATGATGATGAGATGTAAATATGTTCGTGTTGTGATCTCATTTAAAGCGACTTTTATACAATATATACATGTAAACAAAGACAAGCCTGTTGCTCTAGTCACTAGTGGTTAGTGACCCTGACTGCTAAGCCGCAGGTCGTAGGTTTGATGCCCATATAGGACAAATATTTGTGAGATGCGCATGATCATTAAAAAATATCTGTGTCTGGATGTAATTTATATTTTATGTAACATATGTATTATGCAATATGTATGTATTTATAAATATTATCAGCAGTCTGGTTACTATAGTGCAGGCTCTGCCCAGTTTAAGATCAGACA